TTCAGAGCAATGAGAGGGGTGCCAAGGATGGGCCCCTCTATCCACTCGCACCCCAGCTTTCACAGAGGGGATGAGCGCTGAGGATTTGCACCAGAGGCTGGCACCTGGTTTGTTTATGTGTTTATTTAGGTAGGAAAAGCACCTTATTCCCATTGCTCATTAGTCCTGGGGAACTGCCAAGGCCACCACCAGTGCCACCAGCTCCCGCCACTGACTTTCATCCATTGCTTCCCATCTCCCAGGCAAAACTCACCCTGTGCAGACCTTGCCCACTGGGGGCCAGGGGAGAAGATGTCTTTCCTGGTATGAAAAATAAGGACAAAAAGAAAAAGCTGTGATGGTTTCATCGCCCGGGGATGCACCCAGAGCCGCCTGCCTTGCTGTTACCTCCTGACACCAGGCCAGCACTGTGGGGCCAGCAGGATTTTAACCCCCCCATCCCCTTTTCTTTATATTTTTTAAAAATTTTCCTCTTGTAGCAAAACATGATGCTGTGCAGTGCCAGGAGGGGAGCAGCTGAGAAAGACACAGCTGTGCCCCCCAGTACCCCGGGAGGGCTCCCCACTGCCGGGGTGGCCCACAGCAACCTTGTCAGCCACCGGCATCCTGTATCGCCAAACAACTGTGTCTTAAACGATGTCTTTATTTGGAAACCGCCAGGCGAGCAGAAAGTTCATGGTGCGGAGGGTACCAGCGAGGGAGGAGCAGTGGCATTGCTGTCTCTGCCTCCAGGGCTTGATGATGCTCCTCTGCCAGGGTCTTCCCAAAAAATGGGCACATTCCAGGGGGTGGTTCCCCCGTCCCTCCCCGTGCTGGCGGCAGGGTGTCCCTAGACGATGCCCTCGCTGCGTTTGCTCCTCCACACCACCAGCGCGGTCATCAGCAGGGTGACAAGGACGGGGAGTAGGATGAAGGGGCAGAGGACACTGTTGGGGGGGTCGTGCAATGCCCGGCCAGAGGAGGAGCAGTTCCTGAAGTACTGCTTGTGAACGGCCACGAAGAACTCATCCACCAGCTGGTTGGGCCAGTAGCAGTCAAGTCTCTCTGCGATCAGCGCCGTGCAGTTCGTCAGCTCCCCGTAGGTGCTGCAACACAGACAAAGGCACCGGGGTGGCACTGGGGAACAGCACTCAGCTGTGACCATGCCACCTCCCCTCATATAATGGAAAATATTATAGACTTTCTATAAAACCAGGACATAGAGATACATGTGTTTGTTATTTGAGATTGTACTGGAGATTGTTATTTGAATATAGGGGGTTTTTTGAGATTTTAGGAAGCTAGGTATAAAATTATATGGGGTTTTTTAAAATTCCTATCAGGTTTTGCCACTTTGAGCGAACTTTGAAGAGCTCACCCACAGCCAAAAGCACAAGGAGTTTTCATTTACAAAGGTAAATAAAAATAGAAGTAAAATTTACAGAAATAACTAGAAACAAGGATTTTTTTTTTTTAGTTGGTTTGTGTTCATCTTTGCAGGATTTCATGGGCGGACTGGTGCTATTAGAAAATACCAGTCAGACCCACACAACCCTCTGGGAGCTTTAGGCAAAGACCTTCAGGAAACCCATCCTGGGCCATGGAGCAGCTTGCCCAGCTGCCAGCCTTTGGGCACCACCCTTTATCTTGCACAGGTTCACCCAAAAGGGAACAGAAACAAGTACATTTCATCTACTTAAAATGCTTCTTTAATTGCTTGAAAATATGGTTTGGGGTGGTGGGTTTTTTGGGGGGTTCTTTTGGGTTTTTTTGGTTTTTTGGTTTTTTGAACCAACAGCCTTCTTTTAAAGCTCATCCTTCTGCAATTTGCAGTGCCACACTTTGCAGGGCTGCAACACCATGACCCATCTCACCTCTCAATGGCTAGCAAGTCTATTTTTGGGGTTTTTTTTCAAATATTTGGAAAATAAGACACTGCAGACACAGGACAGCACCTGTGCTGGTCCACCCAAGCTCTGGAAGGACAAGTATTACCATGGTTTTCAAATCCTATGTGCTTGCAAATTGCCTATGTATTAAAAAAAAAAAAATGTGTATCTGATCCCCCCCCAGCCTTGCCAATTACTCGTGGCTCTTCCTAGAAAAGCATAGCTAACCAAAAACTATTCAATCAAAAATCCACCTGGGGAAAGGAAAACTTTTATAAGCAGCTTCCCAGCTACTAGCCGCAGCCTCTCTGCATCTTACCGGCTGGGTTTTGGGGCAGGCGGCCGCTGCCTTGCCATGCCCACGGGCACACGGCAGTGCTGGAGGGAGCCCCTGCGGCGCCCAGGGTTTTAACTAACGGGGTGCCTGGAGCTACTAAAAGCAGCTTCTGCTCAGCATCCTAATGTGCAAAAGTGCCGTTTCCTGTTCTCCAGCACCCTTAGCAGATCTCAGGAGCTGAAGCATCTTCAGGAACCAGAGGGAAAG